AGGTTGCTCTGGACCAGAACCGTGATCTTATTGTAGCGAGTGCCTATATGAGACCACCACCGCAAGTAACGCAATCCTTCAGGCGGTTAGTAAACTGCCTTCCAGCCTCGTCGCTGCTCCTGCTGTGCGGGGATTTCAACATGCATCACCCACAGTGGGAGCCATTCTTGGAGACCTCTCCAAGCGAGGTTGCTGCAGAATTTTTAGAACTGTGCACGGATGCGGGACTCACCTTGGTTAACACCCCTGGTGAAATCACGCATGCCCGTGGCGCAAGAGAAAGATCCTGCATCGATCTGACATGGTCAAAGCATTTGACTGTGTCGGATTGGTCAGCTTCCGTGTCGCCGCTTAGTGATCATTATATGCTGACATTTACGCTGCATCAGGCATTTAAGGATACCATACCTTCGGCACCCCCTTCGGCACCTAAGTTTTTCTACAGTTGGGGGAAGTGCAAGTGGGATTTATTCATCAAGGACTTCGACGCACAACTTCCGGCATACGACTACAAAAAGCAGTCCACCGGCATTAAGGCTTTCACGAGAGCGCTTATAACTTCGTATCGACGAAATTGCCCCCGCGGCATGCACAAGGACGGTCCCAGGCTTTGGGACGACACTCTCATGGAGGCAGAGCGGATTGCTACCGACAGCAAGGCCCGCTATCTACAGTTACCGACGCCCGACCGTGAGGCAGAAATGCAACGGACAAGGAGTCAATTCTTCCTCCTGCTCCGAGAGCGCTTGCGCAACACGTATCTACGCCGCATCAGCAAGTTAAATCCAGGCGAGCCACTCGCATGGAAATACATTTCCGGACGAAAAAAGGCATCACTTCCATCTCCCACATCAATGTTATTAGGAGATGGTCAACACACTTATAAAACAGCAAGGAGAGCAGCGAATGCTCTCAATCGCATCTTTCTTCCATTTCACCCCTCTCACAAGGCAGTTAGGTTTTCCAAAGGCATCAACAGACAGAGTGCATCTTTGAACATTAATGCTTCTTTTCTTTTTGGGCAGCAGAACAACAGCGAGTCTGCTGCCTCATTTACTTCATTTTCTTCTACTTCTTCTAGCTCCGAGCCGCAGAACAACAACGAGTCTGCCGCTACATTTACTTCAGGTTCTTCACTCTCATCTAGTTCTGAGCCACAGGATAAAAACGAAGCTGCCACCACATCTGGTTTAGTTGCTCATCTTCACTCCCCTCTTGATGCACCTTTTAATCGTACGGAACTGCTTGCTGCGCTACGTACTACGCCGTATGGCAAGGCCCCCGGACCGGATGAAGTCTACAGTGAGGCACTGCGACATATTTCGTCAAAGGGCCTCCGATTCCTTCTTCGTTGCATTAACCACAGCTGGACGACCGGTACGATTCCGGTTGAGTGGAGACGCGCTACCATCGTTCCACTCTTAAAACCCGGTAAGTCGCCGGAACTGCTTGAGTCATATCGACCCATCAGCCTTACCTCCATTGTGAGTAAGGTTGCTGAGAAAATGGTACTGAAGAGATTGCTATGGGTGTGGACGCCGCACCCCCACCAGTATGCATATCGTAGTGTGCGTAACACGACGATGCAGCTGGCACACCTGATACACGAAGTGGAGCATAATAGAAATCACTATTTCCAAGTGAGCCTTCCCAAGAAGAGCGGTATTGGCAATCAACTCCACTACAGACCCCATCGGACCCTGCTGGTGTTGGTTGGTTTCAGCAAGGCTTTTGACTCCATAGATCATCGAGTCTTCAGTCGCTTGCTGGGCTAATATTCCGGGGGTGAATTGTAGAAGGTGGCTTAGAAACTTTCTATGTGGTCGCTACGCGAAGACACGAGTTGGCCACAGACACAGCGATCGGCGTCCCATGCTGCGAGGAGTTCCTCAGGGGTCCGTGCTGGGACCATATTTGTTCTCCCTTTACGTACACCCACTTCTCAATCTGCTGAACAGCTTTGCGGGTGTCACAGCAGACATGTATGCGGACGACCTCTCTATTATCGTTAAGGGGCAGTCCCGGGAAGACGCCATTCCCACTGCCAACATGGTTCTTCAAAAACTGCATGCGTGGAGTCAGGAAAATGGCCTGGCCATCAACCCGTCAAATTGTGAAGCCGCTTGGTTCACACTATCCACGCACACGGAGTCAGATTATGATCGTGAAGGAAGGTGGCCCCTGGTAGTGGCTGGATGTCAAATCCCAGTCATGACCATGGGGGCATCGCGAACTACGAAGCTTCTCGGCATGGATCTCGATCCACGACTGACGCTAAATGTGGCGGCCTCCAAGCAATGCGCTGCCACTTCGCAACGGATATCGCAGCTACGCTGCATAGCGCACAAAGAGGCGGGACCATCTCCACATGACCTACGCACTTTCGTCATTGGATATGGTGCTTCCAAATTACGCTATGGCAGCGAGCTCATATGGGCAGTAGCGACGGATTCAGCGAAGAATGAGATGCAGAAGACGTACGCAACTCTAGCTCGCATTGTCAGCGGAGTTCCGAGCACTGTCGACCCGGAATCCGCACTACTGGAGGCTAATATGCCGCCGCTCCACGTCCTTTGCCTGCGCGCGCGGCTCTCAATATTTGAGAACACACGCGCATGTCAGATGGACTGGATGCGGAGACCCCCGCCTGAGCCACCACCTCGCGCCGGTTTCCGCATCTCGCCATTATCTCGGGACGAGCTATATGCCTTCGTAGACGCATACACAAAGGACTATGGCATCACCGAGAGCTCACCACGCGAAGAGCGGTTCTTTCGCAGCTCCATTCCTCCCTGGTCTGCGGCCTCCGCTCACCGGGTCACCATCGGTGTGGAACTTCCGATTGACCACTCAATAACGGACGAAGAGGAGCTGATACGGGAAAAGCGCAGGGTCAGCGAAGAGGCTCTGGCGCTGCACAGCCATCGTTCGTGGATACTTGCGACCGATGGCGGTGTCGACGTTCCCAAGTCAGCAGGGGTTGGAATACTGCTTTCATCCCTCAACTCATCGGAGATAATAGAAAAGGCCAGCATAAACTGCGGTGCACGCCCATGCAGCTACAGGACGGAATCCCGTGCGCTGCTTCTAGCCCTAGAGAAGCTGATGATTCCTCGTATCCGCCACAGGCGTAAAACCCTGCTTGTGGCTACGGACAGTCAGTCTCTTCTAGCGGCTCTAAACAAGGGCCCGCTCAGTCAGACAGACTGGACGGAGGACCAGATCTGGCAGCGTCTCTTAACACTGACGCGTGCTG